GGGGGTGCGAACCCCCTGCACCCCCCTAGCTACGGGCCTGCCTTCTAATACCTTCTGCCAAAAAGTAAAACTCTTATTTGCTCATTAAGGTGGCTGCCTACGTTTGGAAAACAATTTAAAATTTTTTTAAAACTTCGATTTTCCGAATTAAGATTTAATGCTGATTCCAAATCTGGAAAGAAAAAAAATGGGTGTCCTGTGCTTGTTTTCGAGATAATCAGCATTTAATGGAAGCCAACAAAAAGACAAAGAAAGAGATGCATTGATTTGTTATATTTTGTAGTTTCGGTGCTCTTAAAAAATCTCATAAAGTTGAACAAAAATCCCTACAAAAATCTATTTTTTCATTTGTTAGAAATATAAACTTTTTCTAAAATGTTGATACTGTATAACCTAGATTTTTAGGAGTTTTACTTTGAATATGAGCTATTAAAAAATAGAGAGTCCCGTGCAAAAATTTGAGGGTTTTGCTTTTGTTGAAGCTCAAAACATGTATGGTTCGTCAATAAAATCTCAAGTAGATTTTTCAGCGGTTTTTGGGTGTGCGCACATCTTGGGCTCAAATGGAACATTCAAAAGTAAGAAGCATTTCATAAAAATAAAACTCTGACTTTTTTAACACAATGAAAAGCAAAGGGCACTGAGTTATAATGCTCGTCAGTGCACCCCGAAAACTGTGAGTTTCCCCATGTGCCACCTTTCCAAATCTTATGAGATTACAGTCAACAACTATTGGGAAACTGCTCTTTTGAAAAATTTATTTTTTATTTTGGGGAAATAATATTGTGCCCTTTTTGCGAGAGCTTTTATTTTGACTCATTAAATATGCAGAAATCCTTCTGTTTGGCGATTGCGTGACTAAAGACTTCTTGAAATAATAATAAATAGATAAATTCCCTGGAAAAATCATTGCTTTTCAAATCTAGTCTATATAAATAAAAGAAAACATTAATATACTAACCTTAAACAAAGGTTTTTTCCATTGCTCCACTCATTTGAGTTATCAAGAAATTAGAACTGGCAACCACTGGCTTGTTTACAACTGATTTCTGAAAATAACATCTATCAGTATCAGTTAAACAGTTTGTGTTTCTTTACAAATAACTAGTCAGATTCCAATAAGAAATATAAAGATCATATATTTAAAGATTATTCCACTGAAGGTTTAGCCAAATTAAATTTTATATATTTTTGTGCTAGTCCCCTGTTTAACAAAAGACTTCCCAGTAGGTCGGTCCTTTTGTCCTTTTGTACCTGTCCACCAGCATGGCCGCAATGTCTTTGTCTTTTGATCCTCTTGGCATTGGGTGAAAACCACTGCTGTCCACTGATCCCAAAGTTAGTCTTTCCTTGATGGACACCATGTTGTCTGTCTGTTAAAACTATTGAAACACACATCACGATATTGTCAACTTTCACATCCCCATAATGCCTTACGTTTTTGGAGGGTAACCAATCAAAAAACTTTCCCAAATTGAAAGGTTTCTTAATTGAATTTATACTATACCTGCTTTTATCTGTACAATAMTGATTATCAGTTTATTCCAAGTTATTTTTGCGTGTACAGATCATCAAGAGTTTTGGTCTTACAGAAAATGTATTGACTTACAAATAAATATTTAAAATTTGCTAAACAGCAAAACTCCGAAACGAAACACCGGAACGAAACACCAGAACGAAACACTGGAACGAAACAGAGATAAATTCTTGATATTACAAATATGCAATAGAAAAATAAAAGAAATCAAAATACACGATGGTACAATGATACAAAAGCGATAAAGTTTACCTTTATGCCCGTGCTTTAGGATCTGTGATCCCTATCGATCGTTTATTGCCTTTTATCAACCATGTCTTTTCGCTGGCTATCAATGCAATTCTTTCTCGAATTTGAAGGATTTCAATGGTTCTTTTAATAAAACATTTATAGTCTTAGCTGCTTCTGTCTCTAGTGTCTACACCGAAAATAAATTGTGAAAAAAGCAAAAGTAATGTAGCCGTGTTACTTTAACAAAAGCACAGGAGGCCCATTTCATGACAAAGGAAACCCATTTCGGATACCAGCCTAAAAAGGCACATCTCTGATCCCTTGAAAATCCGAAAATTTTGTTCCTGATCCAACTACCTTTTTAGACAATGAAACTCGGATCTCGGAGCCCAAAAATAGCTAAAATGTGATCCCTATTATACCTCGTTTTACTTACTAATCTGATACAGTTGGACTACAATAAGCATTTACTTAACTTTACAATTGTACAGAGTCGCTATAGGTTATGGTAACTTGCGAAAACAACCTTAAGCTTTCCATCTTTTTATCTATCATTATTTAAAACACTAATAATCACCACCTGCAGTTTAGGAAACGATGTTTTATGACAGATTCCTTTATCAAATTATTAGTTTTCCTTTGTCAAGAGCCGGGCTTCCTGTGCTTTTGTTTAAATAAGCATGGCGTCGCCCGAAAACTTTTGTTTTTTCACAATTTTTTTTCGGTGTAGACACTAGAGACAGAAGCAGTTAACTTGTAATATCAAGAATTTGTCTCTGTTTTGTTCCGATGTTTCGTTCCGGTGTTTCGTTTCGGTGTTTCGCTGTTTAGCAGTGCCCAAAATTTACCTTAAACATCTTCAAGCTTCTATCTTTTTCTGTTTTTTACTTCTTCATTTTATTTTTGGATACCAAACAAGGTATTGTCAACATTGTCTGATCAGCCTTCAGCAAAATAAGTGGGTTTTTACCCTCTGGTTACCTTCCAAAGACGCAAAGGATTATGGGAATGTGAAAGTCGAGAATATGCCACTATGAACTCGCCTATTTTTTTTTTATTGTTTTTCTATTTCTCAGTTGTTTGTTTTACCACARACAGACCTCTTTACCTTTGTATGCAAATTATTGCCCATTTCAGACCATGTGACATTCCCTTGAGAATTGTTCTTTTATGACAAACATTCTAAAATATTTAAATATAAAAAGAATCAACTCCCAAGCTTGCCATCACATGGTCTAAAATGGGACAACGAACATCAAAGGTAAAGGGACATTATTATTGTTTAATTTCTCTCACACTGATTGGTTATTTTACTACAGATTTCAGCAAACTACTGAACCGAGACAAAAAAACATGCCATGATTATGCCTCCAAATGTCTACGATTCTGCACAAAAACATCAAACTTTTAGCTTACATTCCTTCTCCATGTGTCAGCATCCTTTTGATAATTTGTGGTAATGAAAATTATCAAAGGACACCGACACGTGAAGAAAGGATCGCAAGACTAAACGTTTGATGTTTGTCTCAGTTGGGCAGTTTGCTGACACCCATAGGAAATTTATCATCAATAAGAGGACAGACAAACAAGCTTAGCTAATCACTAAATATTTCAAAAAAAATGTATGTTAGTGAATCTCTTATGTTAAAAAAAATGGAGATCCCTTTTAATCCTGTACTTTTATTGAACATGTAATGACATCAGCATATGATCCAAACTTTACGGTGAAACCATTGCTGTGATCATGATTCCACTTGAGTTTGGATCACATGCTGACACCATTTTCATGTTTGATAATAGTACAGACCATAAAAAGGGGGCCTCATTTTGCTATTACCACTTTTCTCTTTCTCAAATGAAAGATCGACGTTTATTCTTTTATTTTCCCATCTTTATCATGTATATTAATTACTTTGTTGTTAGCTGTTTAGAATCATATTTGGCAGATTTATCATAGGGATGTGTAAAAGTAATTGCATTACAAATTGATCTTATGGCTGGTTATTCACAGTGTTACGCAAGACATTAGGGACCTAAATAATTGACAAGAGTTTATGTACAGAAATGCTGGGAAGATGACGAGAGCATGTTTTCAAAACAGTTTTTTTGTGTGTGCAAATGACATCCTTGGCATTTTCATTCTCTTGCGGACAAGAAAAGGCACCAACTGACAACTAAAACTAATAACTGACATTGTACAGTGTAGCRAAGGTGGCAGCAGCAAGGACAATAGTGCATGTATGAATATATCATCTTCCCAGGGTTGCCGTCCTTGATGCTTGTCAATTCTTAAAGTACCAGGTCCTATTGTGTTCTAGATACAGGTAGACATTGATCAGGTGCTATTGCCCTGTGCTGAATAACTGATCGAAACTCTCTTGATTTGAATGATAGAAAAAGACTAGCAACTTACTTTATATTTCTTCTAATACTTTTAGGTTTGTTTTGAAGTAGTTGTGGGAGAAAAGCTTCCAGTAAACATGCCAGAAACTGAAAGAACTCCTCATGTTGTCAGAATTGGTTGGTCTACTGATTTTTCAAGCCTTCAAGTTGGAGAAGATGCCATGTCTTATGGTTATGGTGGGACTGGGAAATGCTCTGTCAACAACAGATTTTTTGATTATGGTCAGCCTTACTCAACTAACGATGTTATTGGATGTTACATCAATTTGGATGCTAAGAGCATTTTCTTTACTAAAAATGGTCACTATCTTGCTGAAGCTTTTCGTCTTGGCCCTGAGACTCAAGACATTGTGTTTTATCCTCATGTTACCATGAAAAACATGAAAGTTCACATGAATTTTGAACGTCCATATTATCCCCCTATAGAAGGCTATTCCATGATCCAGCATGTATCACCTAACCTCTTGATACGTGCCACAGGTAGCCCTGACACACGTAAAGATTGTCAAGTTATTATGATGGTAGGTGTACCAGCTTGTGGCAAGACATTCTGGGCTAAAGAGTATGCAAATGAAAACAAGCATAAAAAATTCAACATTATTGGAACAAATGCCATCATAGATAGGATGAAAGTGATGGGACTTGCTAGACAGAGAAACTATCACGGTCGCTGGGATGCTCTTATCAAACAGGCTACAGATATCCTAAACAAAATCCTGAAAATTGCACAAAATAAAAATCGAAATTACATACTGGATCAGACGAATGTGTATACTGGTGCCCGAAAGAGGAAGATTGGTTGTTTCCATGGTTTTCATTGCATTGCAGCTGTTGTGATCAATAAAGATGAAGTCCTACAATACAGAACTAAGAAACAGGAGAAGGAAGAAGGGAAGATTGTACCTGAAAGTGCTGTTATGGAAATGAAAGCCAACTTCACCCTTCCCACTCCTGGTAATGGTTTTGATGAAGTTTGGTTTATTGAAGAGAATGAGCAGAGTTCAAAAAGATTGGTAGAACAGTACAACAGGGAAGGCAAAGAATATAAAGAACGAGTGCAAGAAAGAAATGTTCAACCAGCCAACAGTTCTGGTCATGTTTCAAGTAATACTAATGTTGAAAATCCTCCAGTTGATCCAAGAGCTCCAAATCAGGCTGGATGCAGTTCCCACAATCCAAGAGTGTATCATGGCCATGACTCACGCCCATTTGGCTTCAATACCCCAAGGGATCCTTTCAATCCACCACATGTAAGACCTCCGGCAAGCTTTCCCTTATCACATGAGGATCACATGAGTGGTACAGCTAGACATAACCCAGAGAGAGGAGGATATAGCATGGGAGGTAGTCGATATTCACCATATGATGCACCACGTAGGCACATGTATGATGCATACCAAAACCATCAATATTCCATAAGCAATCAACAGCAGTACAACAATAGAGGGTCATACACTCAGCAGTATACACAGGATTATGGAAGGTCCTATGCATACGACAGACAAGAAGTCAGTGTTGAGTATTATTCAGTAGAAGAAACCAGACAACCAGGATGTAACCAATATGAGCACCTCACCCCGGGTATTATGCGTGAACCAGTAGAGAATGAATATCATGACTATTATCATGAGAGGCAGCAGTATGGTGGTCCCAGAGGAAGCCAAGGTTATCCAACACGCTATCCATACAACAGGGGATCAAGGTACTGAATAAGGTGTTCAATACTTAGAATTATTGTACTTGAAAAGCCTTTGAAAAAATATACGTATTCCAGGTGATCTTGGAAAGCATGCAATGCATGATTTTCTGACTTGAAAAAGAGTCAATCCCTAACATGACTGCGCCTAGAGTCCTGCATGAGTTGGATTTGAATATGTATTCTCTTGAAATGTAGTGCGAAATATTGGTGAAAAGAAGTCATAGCTGCACATTTGAAGTCTATAGTAATGTTTTGAGTTATTTACGAGTAAAATTTTTATGAGAAAAGCTTATTTTAAGTAAGTGTTTATCCGATTTCGTAATTTGTATAGCCAACAAAGTTAAACCTTACAAAGTTTTTCATTTCGACAATGATTGAAAACTTGATATTCTCAAATTGGTATTAAGTAGTAACGTGTATGTACGTATATTAATATTTTTAATAACAATAAACCTTTTTTTGATTTAAAAATGTGATGTATTTACGTGCTTTACTTGTGTTATGTCCTTGATTATTCCCGATCCACACATTTCTTGTTTTTTTTCCTGCTTCTCAAGGCGCAGAAGTTCTATTGGGATTGATTCTTTTTCAGCAAACGCTAATTTTTCGCCATCTGATTGGCTAATCGATTTCCGTCAGATTGCCTGGTTCTTAGAGATATGCTTTTCAGCACATTAGTTAAATTACTCAAAATGATGCAGTTGCATTTGTACAGTATGCTGACAATCTAGAGAGAAAATAACGAGCTTAATTAACTAGCAATGAGCTAAAAAGATATAACTAGCTAAAAGCTAGTGTGAGCTGCGTCGGTGTTCCTAATGAAACAGTAATGATGAAAAGGTAAATTATACACCGTGAAAAGATGAAAAAACTTACTGACGTTTCGGATGCTAGTCCTTCGTCGGAGTAAAAGAGGAATGAGCTGTTTATTTATGTTTACTGTAGATTTTATTTACTCAGTAAAATTGTTAGATATCAGGTATTTCGATGAAATTAATAAAACAGAAAAATATACTTTAGCTAGGAAGAACATGTTAATGTTAGTAAAATGGTAAAGTTTGAAGGAATTAAGTTCAAAACTTACAAAGATATGACTTTTAAAATGCATCTCTTGCCTTCAACAAATGTTTGCATACAGAATTTTGATTTTCAAAAATTCACATCTTTGCAAGTTTTCAGCTCCCTTAAAATTTCCCTAATTTTAACATGCAATTTCCAGCTTTGATAATTGTTTTTCTGTGAGTTTTGGAGGCCCTTTGAAGTAAATGATAAAAGTTTATTCAAACCAGCTGTGCCATAGGGTCCCATCTATAAATAGGAAAAGACAGTTACCACAGGTAGCCCTGTGAAGAGTTAAATGCATTATACTAGCTGGTTTAAGATGTAAGGTGGTCTGATCCATTTATATGTATCCAGCTCACGCACAGCATGAAGGGAATGACAATGACTCAATTCATGGTTCCGTCTCCCCTTACAGTAGTTACCGTTGCTATGTCCCAGAAGCTTAACAAATTATCTAGAATATACTCAGAATTTAACACTCTGATGGAAGAAAATTGATTATGAACTGTTTCTATTTAATAATCATTGTCATACACCCTTCTCATAATGGCTGACAAGTGCACGAAAACGAGGTCACACATTTATTATTTCACAATAAAAGATAAAATTACATGAGATGACTTTAAAGAAGAAAAGTATAAAAAAATGACCTTTGTTTTGATCTGAATTAGTGCTAACAGCCTTTATTTCGAATGAGCAGCTTGGCTCAACCTTGCAAGATGACTGGGTGACCTTGTTTCCATGCGTTCATCAGCCATTATGAGAAGGGTGTATAATCCTTGTCATTTYGTAGCTATTTTCTGAGTTAGAACAATCAATTATGTTTTACTCGAGCAGAAACCTTTGTTTTTTTTACAACTTCAACTAACATGTTCTATAAAGGAAATAACAAAGAGGTTATTGAAACAGGTTCTTTATGAACAAAATATGTTTTTTTAGATCTAAATTCATTTAATGTGTATGGAAGACTAGGAAGGGCACAGAGCTTTAATAAACATAAAAAGTCTGGTTTTAACTAGACTTTTCAAAAAGCCTTAGATAGTTAGCCACAGCTTTCTTTTCAGGCTTGCCATTGTAGAGTTTTTAAATTTAGTATTTTTGTAGTTCTTTCTTTAGTTTTTACCATGACACTCGTCACCTTGGGTGCTTAAACATTTTGTAAATATTAAGAAACTTGTTAATAAAAACGATATATAGTTTTAGTATAATTTTAAACTTGAATATAGTTTCTTGTGCTTTGATTGCTTGACTGCAACCAGTGATTATGAGACAATATTTACTACTCAAGTGGCGATTATGAGATTTCCCAAAGTTTGCCAAAGTGGAAGTAATACTAAAAGGTTTTTTATCCTGAATTTTGTCTTTTCTCTGATATTCAGTTCTATAATTATACTAAAACATTTATAACTTCAGGCTCAGTGAATATGGGGAATATGTACCATGCTACTCGAAGAGACATGTCTTGGTAAAATTCCTGGATATTCACTTTACCTCAGCAATCATTAAATATATTCACTGAGGATTAATTGAATCCACTAAGCATGGATATTATGAAAAGTTATATGGTTTGATACAGTTAGTTAATTTTCTCAAAACGTTTGTGTATACATTTCTTGGATTAGCTGAAAGGGAAGATTGATTAACTTGTAATAAATTATTACTACTTAATCTTTTCTGAGACAGTAGTAAATATGAAACATTCTGGTTTAGCCATAGTAACTATGGGTTCAGCCTCTTCTTTCTTCCAGTCTTCCCAGCTCGGCCAGAAGGCACGTTGTTCACTTGGGCTGGGAGGTGGTACTCCAATTGAAAAAGGCCAGGGATGTTCCTTGTTCCTTTTAGGATTCCAAATCTGTGACTTAATACCTCTTAGGGTGTAATTAAAAGGACCAGTAGAGAGTAAGCCGGTGCCTCAGGACGTTTGTAAAGTAATAATAATATATACCTTATGTTAATAACAGCCAAAATAGTAGTTGTAATATGCTGGGTTATCAACTGATGTCTCTATAAAATTATTAGTTGCCATGTCCATCTGGACAACACTTGGGTCCCATTTATATTTTTTAGGGGGCATTATTTTCAAAATTTCTAACTAGTGTCCCTGCCCTTGTACATATTAGAGTACCTCCCCCACATCCCTGCTTGCTTATTAATATCAGAAAAGATTTAAGGCCTCCTTTCAGGCCCTGGTGTAAAAGGGAGCACACAAAATCTTGTAGTTTCGCATATTTGCATTGCTATAAGCTACATATATTTCTAATCTGTAGAAAATGATAGAACCTTGTATTACAGGAAATAGTAGAAATAAAGTCAAAAGAAAAAACTCTTGCTATTTTGATTTTTAATTATTTTGCCATCTTCCAAGTCTATGCCTCAATCAGTAGGATATCCATTCGTGCTTTCTCACGAAAAATCGAAGCAGAGAGGGTCTGGGTAAGAGAATAATCAGTACAAAGTTTATAAGTTCCCCAGTAGTCTCTTGCACAGACATGCATGAAGATGGGCCAGATAGACTGCGAGAGTTGTCAAGCGGTCAAAATAAAGGCTCATCATGAGTAGTAAGACAAGGTAACCACTGTTGTATTCGTAAATGGAATCTAAAATATCTTGAAATATGTTACATGGTCATGATAGTAGGTGAGGTGTCGCAGGGGCGGATCCAGGAAGGGGTGACTATTATATACGAACGTTTTACCAGGAATTCGAGAAAAGGGAGGGGTGACTGTTACTAACGTCATACTGAGAAATGGTGAGCAAGGGGGCTGAGAAAATTAGATGGTTCCACGTGCGTACATGGGTTGTCGTGGTGGAGTTCCTGTGGTTTCTGCGGGAACTTTCATGCCAAACTTTACCGCGCTTGCTTGTTCGAGTGTGTACCACAAAAATCCAAACACATTTGAATTCATGTAACAATTTTTTTAGAGGATGCATGAGGGGATAGTAATAAGTGACACAAATGGAACTACGACTGGTACACTGGGAGCCGGTCACGCCGGCCTTTGAGGGAGAAAAACAGCCCTGGGCAATATGCAGTTGTTTTTCTTCAAGTTTTGAAAACTCGGTAAGTGTACATTGATGATCTCCTGTCCAAACGCTATATTATAAACCTTCTTATTACACATTTAGGGTCGATATCAGTGATAAAATACATTTTATCATTTCTTCGACCCTAAATGCATAATAAACAGATTATTACATGTTAAGAGCATGATATCTCTTCTATTCACTCTTTTTCATATGATATAGCTCACTCTCTCGCGGACTCACTCGTTTGCGATATTATATGGAAACTAAGCTCTTAACATGGGATAATCACTCTATATATCAGTAATTGAATTCTGAGTAGATACGTATATAACCGGCTCACGGCCAGTTTAACCCTTGCCTCCTTATATCATCATTGGGGAACTTTCTTAAAACGGGGTTGATAACTAGAGGGAGATTGATAACTACTGTAGATGGCAACCTGGACATTTCTTTTGTTTAATTTAGTTGAGTGAAGGATAACCCCCCCCCCCCCCCCCCCCCNCCCCCCCCCCCCCCCAGTGAACAAAACACACATTACATGATATTATGATATATATAGTTGCTTTCCAGAAAGAAGTTTCGCCTCCAGCATGCATTCTGAAAATTATCATGTTTCCAGATTAATACCTCACATACCTGGCCTTGATGCAAAGTGATGATTTTACTCTGAAACTAGTTTTGCAATGTGGTGTTGCGAGACAAGTCATGAATGGTGTCATTCACGCAGTGAGGGAGCTTGTAAACTTGGCTTGTAACAATTATAAACCGTAGTAGAGGGGGGGAGGGGTTATTTGCAGTTTCGCAGCGCCTAAGAAGTGCGATTTTTACCATACAGCGATGCTGAATTGGCGAGAGAGCCGATCGTTGTGTTTCCGGCATGTCCACACCCCTAAGATATAATTTAATCAAATTACCAAAGATTTAATGGCCGATTGAATAACTAACCAATAGGCTAAATACGATGTTGATAGTTTGAAAAGTGCAAAAACCAGTTGCACATGGAATCTGAAAGGGCGGTATGAGTATCAGGGACGGACAAAGTGGCCGGTGGATGGAATCTTCACAAAAGCTAATGCGCAATACCCCTACCCCTTGTCTCCCGGCACACTGATCAATACGCAGTCGACTGGCGGGGGTGGTTTCATGATCAATTATTAAGTAGATTAAAATCGTTAGTGGCATGGAATAATGTCAAAGTCATCATTACTGAATGCCCACCGCGTATTGTTTTCTAGTTTCGTCTTGCTTAATTTCTCAGTAAACGGTAATACATATACATGTATCAACATTGGCATAGTGAGAGGGATAGTTTGGGAGGGCGGGCGACCCCCATAAAGTTTTACTGCAAAGTTTTGAAAGGAGCTTATGCTTACGCGTGTTAGAGTGACCACAGTTAATCCGTGAAACACTAATTACTAAATAGTACGAAATAGTTCTATTAAACTATGGAATAATATTTCACGGATATATTGTTCGCACTCTATTTGGCTAGGAAAATGTACTTCACATCCCCCCTCCCCCCTACCAACCCTTTATGGCCGACACCTCGCTACGCCCCTGTATACCAATAAGCTGAGGATGACCGAAAGAGTCATAACCCCAAAACGAAAGAACGTGAGTCTTAAATAGAAAATAAAATCACAATCATGCAAAAAGAGAGAGTTCATATTTTATTTCCATCACCGATAACTATTATCAGATCATCTAAGTAACACTTCAAACATTTGGTTTTGACGTCTTGTCCTTTGTAGCTAAAAAGTACAACTCAATGATATATTTGTAAATCTTGTTTCTACCTAAATTATTTCCTAAGTTTCGTAAAAGGAGCCTATTTTTTACCCCTATCGTGTTTGAAGCTTTTTTGTTCTTTTCCAGCATTCGTGCTAGCCGCGACACTATTGAAAGAAATCATCTTGTCTATGGTTCATGGCCTGGTAATCAGTAACTTGAGTAGGATACAATGTTTACTGATTTCAGAGAGTTCGAAGATCAATGATATGAATGGAATTCTATGGTCAAGGGGGCGTGACCCTTGTCTAAATAACTTTACAATTAATCGATTAAATCAAGCGATGCCGGATTTCTCACATTATCGCTAAATATAAGAAAAAGGTTAGGATAGGATCAAACATGGACCTCTATGTGTATCATATGCTTACTTGAAAACCTTAAGTCGTGTCGAATCCCCCTCACCAAGCCATATTTTAGTCATCTTTCATTGCATGGTATTGTCTTGTCGAACGTGGTGAATTCTCATGCTGAGAATAAGGACAAAAAGCCTCAATACGTTAAGATTACCCCCATTAATGTGATGGATTATAAATTCCACAAACAACTTTGTTATCTATAATTATCTAGACACATTCTTTGAAAGAAAGACTGACTGAGATTTCACTGAAGAAAATTTACGTACATCTAACTCCTTAGAGCTACCAACTTATAGTATGAATTGTTTAAACGATTCGATCGTTACATACAAATAAAGTGAGCCAGTTTATGAGAGTTTCAGAGATGTAGGCACCTAACGCAGCAAAACACTACAAGCTAGAGATTTGGATTTCGCTACAATGTCCCTCTTGGACTTCTCACGTATTTCAACAAACGCTGTGAGAAGAAAACTGCACAAAAACGACCTCTAGCTTTTGCCAAAGGTCATAGAATTTTCTCAAAATAACTAGATAATAGCATTTTTTCCCTGCATGGGATATTTAAAAAATCCATTGAAACGACGGTATTACGACAAAATCGTTCTCAAAAAAAAAAAAAAAAATCTTAAGCTTGTTCTTATTGATTCTTTCCGTACGAGCGTAATGAGAAAGTATAAACCTTGATAGAATCCTCAGGTTGGGCGACACTCGACTCTCCCATTTCATTCTGATATTATATTCTAAAAAGTTATTAATTTCACGAGATATACCTACAACCGTTACTATGAAATTTAGTGTTCAACGTATATTGGCAGATTTTGGAAATGCTTTTTTTGCGCGTTTTCTTTACTAGAAAGCTGACACAATACATTTAAAAATTGAATGCCAAGAGCAATCACGTCCAGTGTTCATGGCTTGTACACGTTCTATACATTCATTGCAAATTCCTGGCCAAATACTATCGTACTAATGTGATCTATAAAATGAGTCGATGAGAGGACACTTTCATTATCTCCTACGCCACAAGTACAAAGTCCATTTTCTGGTTCTTTCTCTTGAATGCTGCATGCGCACACTGGTTGATTGATGTGGAAGAGGCCCTAAGACACTATGAACAACCACACTCATCTACTATCATGTTAGGCACATTCTCGTGAAAAAGATTCTCGTCTTTGTCAAAATAAATCAGAGATAAGCCAAATAACTTGGTAGGGGAGCAGCAGGGAGCGATCTCACGCTGTTGATTAAGCATGGCCACTTTTTGTAAGATATCTGTATGGTGGTAGACTGGAAGAACATGGCCATAGCACGATCCAGTGCAGTAGTTTGCATTGAATCCTAATGGTGCCATAATCCAGTTGTGCCATCCCATGTCTTTAAAAGACACATAGAACTGCTGGCGACAGCAATCTTTCATTCCTGGCCTGCAGTTAATGGCTCTTTTCTTCCTGGAACTCTTTTTAGCGGTTGCCAAATCGAGTACCATAAAGGGGCGTTGCTGACCTCGGCAAGCAAAGGGCTCATTAGATGATAAACATCCAGCGCAAGATAATTCTAACGTATGGATGATATTAGTACGATTTAGTGATTTGTTCTTGAATGTCCTCGTTATCCATGAATCTACGATAGTTTTGACGTCAACGGAGACCCAGCCTTGATCTTTAGACTCAAGTTGTTTTTGGATTGCGTTTCGGGCCTTTGACTTTCTGCCTTTGGAAATATTGGAATCGTAGTCCGCTACCCTGAGCGTCTGTCCTCTGAATACTACTGTCGATCGATAAACCCAAAGAGTAGCTTTCAGAATGTCGTTCTTGTAAATCTTGTTGGAAAAGTGAAAGTTAAAATGCATTTTCCTGGACATTCTGGTATTTTTTCTGCTGTGTGACGAAATAGCTTTAAAAAGAACAAGATGTTAACATGTCAATGTACATACATGAATGTCGATATATAGACAAAACATTCATGATATATTTAGAGAAGAATGGGAGTTGCTTTATCTCTAAAAGAGACTCGAGAGCAATTCATTTAAACAGCCCGTCTTCTATTTCAAAACTCCATTTTTTAAGAAAAGCTTTAAAGAATTTCTAAGTTTGCGACGTAGGTTTTAGATTTTGAATTAAAAACAAATTATAGAGCGACAAACACTCAGGAAAAAATTGATATCCGATGTTCATTAGAATCTTAACTTCTAAGTGACTCACTGGAATGCTGCTTCACATTTGAAACTGTCGAAAAGGATTTCCTTATCCGATTCCAGCAAAAAAATATGCTCTGTAAAACACTAGTAGTGGTCACAGATATGTTGGCAAGCACATTATTACTTGACCAAGAATTGGCATAGATTTGTAGAAATAAAGACTACGGGCTTTTTAATTTTAATTTTCCTAAACGTTTGGCAAACAAAAAGTAATGACATTAACAAATGAAGTGTTGAAAACCATTTTTCCATCAATCTCGTCAAGTGAGGACGAAAAGACGTAGAGTCTCTGGTTGAGGTGGAAAGTTCAGAGCCTTGCCTGAAGATTTGCGTAACACTTGAAACCGATGCAATATCTCGATGACATTTGCGCAAATCTCAGCCAGCAAAATAAAAACCCATTGAACCTCTCAAGCACGCTTCTTTGGTGAAAATCTAATTGGTTTTGATAAGGTATTTATCTGTGGAATTATGTTTTTCGGGCAACGTAATACAAGCGCAGCGAACTATCAAAAATTACGAGAAATTAAATGTTAGTTTCGTGCAATCGTCTGTTGACGCTAGTTTGGCTTCGCAGATGTCACTAATACACTATGCACGCAACAACAGGGAATGAGATTTTATTTCATATGGATATGAATACTTGAACGAGATCGATCTGGCTTAACGAACAAATAACAAAACATTATTTACGCGCGCCCAGAATGACCTTACTCTACTCAAGTTAGATAAATTGCTCATACACACGAAATAATCTAAAACAATTCTTACCCTTTGTTCCAAGTACAATAACTTGCGCTGATTTGGCTTCTTGAGCGTCTACATCTTCTCTCACAAGTGGTGTTTCCAGGAATTTTGCGTCGACCAATGGCAACGGAATCGCTCGTTTTGGTCGCTGGATTCTGGGTTCTTCGTCCATATGTAGTTTGTAAAGTATCTGTCGTTTAATCATCTCGATCCGCAGTTTGTATTCTAAAGATCCCTTTATCGGAGGCGCTCTAACACCACATCGTTTGCAGCCTCCTCCGATGTTCATGTTGTCGTCTAATGAGTCGGCTGTTGTGCTATTGTCTGGAATACTCTGATTGTTAGTAAAGGACGCACCGGGAGAACGAGGCACGCGGATCTTGTGTGTTTGAACATCTGCATCAGATGCTGTATTTTGCGCCGAGACAAAAAGTCCTTGGGTTGTTGCAAATGAGAGTAACACCAATACCGGAAGCATTTTAGCGTACACTTATAAACCCCTTTCGATGGCTGCTAGCGGAAGACGTCTGATATTCGGTGTATTTGAATTGACGCGAAATCTGTTTGCAACACTCGTGGACCAGAAAAATGCAGGAAGCAATTTATGGGCACCCAATGAGCTATTGGAATTCAAAACTGTGACCCTTCATCATACGTACTTGTCAGCACTTAGTATTTTAACCAATCAAAAGTGTTGATGCATGAAGCAAGATTAAAATCTCTTTGTTAATTGTACGGCTTGAGCCATGTGACATCGTTTTACAAAACTATCATCAAAATCATATCTAACGAGTTTCGCATGCTACAGCCATTGGAAGATGTGGCCAAAAAAACTTTCTTGCATTGTTCTTGCAAATTGATCAAATATTCTGAATACTTTTCTATAAGCATCTGATATCGCCACTACGACCTATCGCAGTTTGTTTTTTGTCTGTCAACGGATATTCAATCAGACAATCGATAATCACATTTACGGTGCCAACGAGTTTCTTACCTGACAAGCAGATTGACACACTCTCAAGGAATGACAGTTGACTCCGAAGCCTCAAACCGTTAATACAAATAAATCATTGCCAATCGTGGGGCGTGAGGGGTGAGACTTCACAAAAGAAATATTTTGTACAGCATCTGTCTTTTCTAAGTGCATTTTTCCATTCAGAAAATTTTGTAGTATTGATCAAAAATGACACACCAGTTAAATATTGTGTTTAAAGAACTATTGACACTGATGAGGAGAGGCGCGCGCTGATGCGACAGAGTTTAGCAAGCTAGACGTTCTGTACCTTATACGTCATTATGTACGGTTTAAATGACGTTTGTTCTATAAACGGTTTGCATGCTGGTTATCGCCACTTGGCCTGTTCTAAATGCATAGCACATCTAACGTATTATCAGTATTGTATCAACGTTAAAGATCCTAGATGTCTGCTAGACCAGGTTTATAGTCGTAGGCTCTAGCTGTGTATTTTTAGCTACAAGTGGTATATCGATATCAGCATCTGAAAGTATGAGACTGTTTCAAGTGACATTTTGTTGCAGCTATGGTAGACCATTAGACGTCTCTTTGAATCAACACTCTAATTATCTGTCAGCAGAGGGATCAGAAAATGTGCCCCACAGTCAGATGCTGCACTATCACATTTGCAAAGAGTGTWTGGGGTAAATCTGCGCTGTCAAACCTCGGATCGGAGGAAGGTAAAATAAGCACTGATTGTATTTCTCAGTTCTTTCTCAGTCATTGAAGATCAAAGCGACTTGCATGTCTGAGGGGCTCGCTGCTTTAATCGTTGGAATATTTTTAACTGTTCTCGTGTTTTCATCTGCATGAATACCTTGGAAATTGCTCATGAAGCTAGAAGTAATGAAAATGTATTTTTAAGCTATAAAATACATACAAACGCATAGTTTACCTTATTTAGACTGTTTGCTTTGTGTTATTTGACACTTGGTATCAGTAACAAAAGACATTTATTACACTTACACGTGTTGCTYTTTCTGCTCACGCTGATTGATTTCGAATTCTCGATCCATCCATCCATTAACCTGCGAGCAGAATCTCCTTTTAACTCCTCTCGCCCGTAGCTAGAGGATCGGAGCTAAACCGGAGACTCTGCTCGCAGGGTATCCATACATCCATCCATAACAATTAGAAACATTCAGGAAATATTATTTCCTCATTTGAACAGAAGAATAAAGCACCAATATTAACTTTTTAAATCCGCTACATTGCACTTTTAATGATTGCCTCAGATTCAGATAAGTATTTGGGAGGGGCTTTAGTTAGCAGCATCATTTTTGCGCATTGCTTTAAATTTCTCCTTCTCTCGTTCCTCGTGACCACCTTCGTTTCTTTTAATCTCTACAACTAGTGTATTTCCCCTTTTTCCGAGCATTTTGCATAACCTATGGTCTGTCTGTCTGTCTGTCTGTCTGTATAGCTGTTTGTTCGTTTGCAACTGGTTTACTGCTACATGTGACATTTTAGTCAAGTAAAATAAAAATAACAAAAATTAAAAATAAAAGCCACATGTAGTAATGTGGTGCTTTAGGGCTGTAAAAGTGCTTGACTTAGGTGACTCAAATTCAGCTATTTCTGTCTAGTAACTATATAGCAACAACTGTGTGTTTTGGTTTAAGCTTTTGAGGCGACTGTGCAGTACTGTGTGTCTTTGCGCGTATGCGCTGCATATGTGTGAAGGATATTACGTGATGGACTTGTCTGTAGTATGCTATGTTATGTATCACGGCATGGCCTAGCATGCAGAGATGCAGAGATGGCTGGCACAGCGCAGGATGTACCTTCACTCTTCTAGTTTCAAGATCACTGATGCAAATGCTCTGCCTCTCCTCTCTTCTCCTCTCCTCTCCTCTCCTCTGTCCTTTTCTCTGCGCTCTCCCTGCTCTCCAGTTTATCCTTTCTTTTCTTTCCGTGGTAAAGGTCGAACCTCACTTCAATAGTTTTCATTGAATATAATCATATTACTTTTCAATATGTAAGAAGATTTTATACGAGTGGAGTTATATGGTGGCTATGGGGTGTATAGTCTACGAAACGATCATCATAGCCACTACCAACACTATACCGACTATTTGAATAATAAAAACCCAAAGTACTAGAACTCAACAAGATGTGAATTCAAATTTCAACTATTGCTATTAAAAAAAGTTAATAAACATTTGCTTTTTTAATTTTTGCCGGCTATTATGACGTTTGATGTAAAAGAACGCGGGAAACATTCCTTCTTCACACCTGAATTACAATATCACAATTATCGGACCTGAGACTATCCAATAAGGATGGCGGAAATAGTCACGTGACGTGAGCATGCAGCTGAGGACGCATGGTCTTGGCGGGCAGCGGGTCGAAGGTGGGAACATGGCCGTCAAACATGGGGCAGGATTTTTCACTTTTTTTAACTACTAGACTGTTTATAAATTGAACTCAGAGTAGATTTAAGAATGCAGGAACTAAGACTTAGGAGTCCAGCCGGCTCAGAGCCGTTAATTTATAAATGGCCGCTTCAAAACCGGGTAAGTTTGAGATAAAAAGAAGTGGCTTGAGATGGTGTGTTGTTAGTTGAGAAAGAAGTTGTTATGTTAAGATTTAGTAGTTTAACAGTCTCACTTTGTCGATGTGATAAGTCGACTGACATCTATTGATTCCACATTCTAGGATGGTCGAGACGATGCAAGTGAAATAGTCGATTTAATCAGGTAAAGTTAAATTGAATTTAAGCCACTGAAGCAACAAGAAACGGCTTGTCTTCCTCTCACATCTTTCCAAAATTATCGCTGACGAATTTCAAAACATGTCTCCTATTGTTTACTGTTTACAGATGGGTCTGTGAAGATTTCCAAGAATTGAAATTAGCTGTCGAAAACATAATCTTGATTAATTTCGATCCATCTAGGTAGGTAACCTATTCGCCCTACSTCAGAAATTTTCCTCCAGATTTATGCAGATCTTTCACCATCAGTCTGTGTTTATTTCCTGTAAATTCAATTACTGAAGTACACATATATTTTGTTATATTCATACAAAATGTCTGTTAAACGTATCTTTAAACCTTCTTTTCAGCTATGAGAGTATGTGCAAGCTATGTGAACGGTATAACAGAGCGATCGATGGCATTTTACAGCTAGTAAGTTTGTGTTTTTGTGTATCGTGAACAATTATATTTCATCGCCAGAGCGATAAATACATGTAGCATGTCATGTCGTTTGAGAGAATCCCAACCAAACTTTTTCTCATTCAAGCATTCTTTCATATTAGAAATATATTCAAGCTTTTCATGTTTTAAATTTTTTTGTAAATTATTGAATAGGTTATAAAAAATGGTTAATGTCTTACTGTCAAATTTTTTCTAAATATTTTCGTGAGAGTGGTAATGTATTCAAACAATGATTACCGGCATGGAACACGTGTCCACACATAGCGATACAGTTTGAACTGGAATCAACAATGTTATGCTCTACTTTATTATCTTGTTATCCCTATAATCGAATTTATTCGGTTGATCAGTGCTACCACATGATTATCCTTCTGTTTTTATCAGTTTTATTTATCTTGTATTCATGCGAGGATTTTGTGTTGATGATACACTAGTATGAAGAGGACCATGCAATAAGCACCTATTTGTCCATGTGTATGATATTTAACAATTATTTGCCAAAGTCAAAGTGAATATTGGAGAATATTTACCAAGCCGCAAGTCTTCTAGCAGCAAGGTAGATATCCCCTATATTCACTGAGCCTGAGGATAATGATTGTTTTAGTATAATTTTAGACTTGAATATCAGACAAAAGATGAAATTCAGGATGAAAGAATGTTTAAGTATTACTTCAGATCTGACAAATTTTGAGAAACTTCATAATCACTGCTTGAGAATCACTGGTTGCTTGATCAATTACAGTGTGAGCAAGTCTATATCATTTAAGTCTAAATTATACTAAAGTCATGTATTGTATAAAAGACATACATGCAGTCATATATTATAGAGGACATTATATGTATAGTATGATGACATGGATGTTATAGCACAGACAGTCATGTATTATAGAGGACATTATGTATAGTATGATGACATGGATGTTATAGCACAGACAGTCATGTATTATAGAGGACATTATATGTATAGTATGATGACATGGATGTTATAGCACAGACATTCATGTATTATAGAGGACATTGTATGTATAGTATGATGACATGGATGTTATAGCACACACAGTCATGTATTATAGAGGACATTATATGTATAGTA